TTTTTCTTCACTTATTAAGCTATCTTTATCTCAACTCACGAGTTTTCTCTCTTTTTCTCCTATTCTCTCCCCTGTCTCAGTGGGGGAGGAGGCAGGGTGAGTGAGTTAGCAGCTATGTGGGTGCTTACCTGCTGGCTGGGGTCAACCCGCAGCAGCAGGATGGAAGAACAATACATTAGGAGCATGATCCCTGAGTGATGGGGTTTTGAGGTTTGAGGGAATTAAGTACTTTTTCCAAGCAGCAAGCCAGGGAAGAGCCATTTTTGCAACCACAGATGAAAAGAGTGGGAGGATAGGCTGAAAGACTGTTTAACCTTGGGAAGAGGAGGCCTAAGGGAGAGGTTCTTATCGATGTGTCTAAAAGCCTGCTGGGAGGAGTAAAGAAGAAGCCACTTTTCTCAGTGCTATCCAGTGAAAGGGTGAGAGGCAACGGGCACAAACTGAAATACAGGAAGTTCCATTTAACTTACGAAAAAAACTTTTTTATTGTGAGGGTGGTCGAACATGGGAACAGATTGCTCAGAGGGGTGGTGGAGTCTCCAACACTGGATATACTTAAAACCCAGCTGGACGCAACCCTGCTCTGAGCAGAGGGCTGGACTAGAGGATCTCCAGAGGTCCCTTCCAGCCTCAGCTATGTTGTGATTCTGTGAAATTTCATGGGTGTTAAGTGACCCACAGTTTTGTGGATCAAGCAGCCAAGCACAGAGTTGGTATAGATAACATGGGATATCAGAGAGCTTTCTCAGATGAAGCTGTAGCATTTTTTTCCAGTCTTCAGAAACACCTTTCAGACCTTGGATACACAGGATTTTATAATTAATTGAATTTTCTTTTAACTTTGTTTTTGAAGAGATTGATTACATGAGCCTTTTTAGTTTAGACTTGCAGCTTTTTCACTGACAAAACCAGCACTTTTGCTTTGGCATAGAAAAGCAAAAAAACTTGTCTCTTAGTACAGTGTCATTATTTTGGAACATACTGTAGCTCAGTGCATGTTCCTGCACCAGACAGAGCTGTCTGAAGCAGCAGTCTTGTAAGAGAACTTTCCAGTTACAGACTAATTTGCAGAAGGCTGATTCCTCATTATTTGAGTCTAAAATGACTCTACAGAAATTGATACTGCAGTAAGATAGATAGATATACAGCTAGTTCAATACTCACAGCTCTGCTGGAAACCGAGTGTAAAACAATAGCCTTTACACAAGTGCTATTTTGTAGGAGTGCTGGTAAAATAGTTTCCTGCACAAGTATAGAAACTAGCATTTCAACACTACTCACTGTCCTGATTCAACCCGCTTTTTAGGTTCAACTTAGGGGTTTTACTGCTGGCCTGTTCACTTGCTGACAATTTCATAAATAAGAGTTTGTTGATATTCTTCTGCTGCTGGCAGTTCCTGTTTTATAGTGAGTGGGCCCAGTTAGTCTTGTCTACTTACATTATTTGTTAATTGTTGCTATTCAGGTATGTATTTAATCAACTAAATTTTGATTGCTTGATTAAAAAAAAAATAGGAGTGGTCCAGCTTTTTTTTTATATATGAGTGAAATGTGACACTTTTTAGAAAAATACTAGCTTCCTCTAAGAATGCAATTGCAACATGAAATTTGGGGGAGGTATATGGTGCACTTATGGTTTTGGTTACTTTAATTAAAAATTAGATTATTTTCATTTTCTTGACTTAGTGGCTTCAGAAACTTGCTCACTGATTTACTATTTGAAAAATTGTTCATGAATGCTTGTAGTTGTAGCATGGGTTTCCATTTGAGCTGAAGATAATTTTTTTTAGTGTGTACATGCATGAAGAGTGCGATCTCTTTCATTGTGGGATGCTGCCTCCTTCTCTGTGGATTTGTTGAACAGAAGGAGACTGAGTTCTTGAAGCGTGGCAGAGCACACAGAACTGTTGCATGAATAGGCAGTACTGTACACTGTATTTCTGTACTTTCTTGTTGCACATGATTTTTTTTTTTGTCTCTGAATATTTTAATTTTCTGTTGACTGTAAAGACAGCTGGGGGGTTAGTGTTAAATATTGAATGTTGCATCCTTCTATCTAAAATTAAAAGTATCATAGGTTATTACGAGGAAGAAAAAGTGGTGATTATGTTAGATACCTTCAATACAGTTATGTTTATGTACAAAAATATATAAAACTATATTGCGATAAGTACAGAAGAGTTTCACAAGTCTTTTATCTGGTGCTTGTTCTGGTTGTGCTGGTCTTTAACAACGTGACTCACCTTCCACGTTCCTCAGTGGACCTCAGCTGTGTTCCTCTGTACCTTGGCCTGACGCAGCCAAATATGTATCTGTGTTTTAAGTTTGATGCCGTATTTCCGACACCTGCTGCAATGGAGTTACCTGACTTTTCACACCAATACACTGAGGCTGTGCCTAGTAACTTCAGGCTGGTTTTCCCTCTCTTCATCAATGACCAGAACTGGCACATACTGCGTTAAGACCCGGTCATAATGCAAGGCTAAGTGCATCCTGTAAACGTTTTCCTGGGACGTCAGCAATACCAGCACGCTGGCACTAGGGACCACATCCCACATAAAAAGGCTTTGGCTGACAATTCGGCTGAAGTGCAACGTCAACAACTCTGTCAGGCTGCACAGAGGCGTTCTGCCCGACACCCTGACAATACCGACTGTGCGTGCGCGCTGGGGACAGGCCGCGGCCTCGCGACAGCCCCCTCCCCCGGGAGCAGAACGGGCATGGACCTCCCTCCCCTCCCGAACTCGAGGGTCCACTAAATCTTCCCGAGTGACCCGGCCATTATTGCCAACCCTGTGCCTCTGCTTTGGGGTAATGCATCTCTAGACTTGACCCCGTATTTTCCCTGTTTGTAATGTTCTACAGCTAATGTACTTATACCGAAGTCTCGCCGGTGGGAACGGAGTGTCGCTGCGGCCTCGTTCGCTCTCCTGCTGGACAAGCCCCCGTGGCTCCCAGGCCACCATTTTCCAGGGTGAATAAAGCCACCCGCGGGCATAACGCGCGCGTTTCGGGCCCTCGCCGGCAGGCTCCGGGGTAGCGACGGGCCGGG